ATCTGAGGTTCTTTTAGAAATAGGACAGTCAAGAGATACCAGTCACTGTGTATCCACACACTCACTAGAACTTTGCTCACCCTTCGGGCACTGACCCAGGACATAAGTGTCTTCACCTATGAGAAGCTAAAGGTCCTTACTGACAACTCAGATCATGGCTTCACTGTCACAGAGTGTAAGGGCAGGAGTTAGGAATCTTTATTTTGAAATGCTCATGCATGACTACTAGAGAAATTAAGAATTGCTTTTTCTGAGACAGTCTTGCTGTGGTTGAAGCTGGCCTTGAAGTCACTGTGTAGCCCAGGTTGGCCTCAAACTCGCTGGGATCCTCTTGCCTCAGCCTCCCAAATGCTGGGATTACAAGCATGTGCCACCATACCCAGCAAGATTTTAGATTTTAAAGGGACCCTAATCTTGTTCATACTTTATATTCTTACTGAGGATACCTCCAGGCATGGTGGCATAGGCCTCTAATCCCAGCACCGAAGGGCTGAGGCAGGAGATTTTTTTTTTTTTGTCTTTTTGAGATGAGGTCTCACTATGCAGTTCAGGCTGGCCTTGAGCTCACTTTGTAGCCCAGGCTGGTCTCGAACTCACAACGATCCTTCTGCCTCAGCCTCCTGAGTGCTGGGATTACAGGCATGTGCCACCATGCTCTGCTCAAAAAATTTTTTTACTAATATTTAAGTTTTGTAGGTTGGTGGACCTTACTTTTTTTTTACTATAGTTCTAAATATATCTTAGATGTGGATCTTGCCTTACATATATATGTGAAACATTTGTTGTACAGTAGTCGTATTCACTTTTACTGTTCTTCAGTACTCTGATTGTGTTTTTATCATACTGTGACCCTTTATTTTCTCAGTTTATTAACCCTGCCCAAGGCGTAAGTGCTGTCTGAAATACTGAGGGCGGACATGTCATCCTTCTGTCCTTCGCCCCTCTTTTTGCCGTGCTGGGGTTGCAGCAGGGCCTGTGCGTGCCCCAAAGCTCTGCACCCCTAGCTGCACCCCAAGGCTTTGTTCCCCACACTGTGGTCTCTGGTCCTCTTGGCTCCATGGATCAAGCGTTGAGGATCATGGGTGTGTGCTATCCCCGGGCGCCTGGAGCCCTAAAAGCGTTTTATCTTTCTGGACCTTGGGAGACCTTTGATGATTACTTAAAAATATTTGCTGTTCGCCAGCTACTCACTATTCCACATTTTCCGACTTAGCTTCCTTTTTCTTTCCAGCTTCTATTCATCATTGCACAAGTAAGTGCCTTCCTGTGCTGTAAAATCACTTTGTGGGCTGAGAGTGTGGCTCAGTGGTGTGGTGCTCGTGTATGTGACGCCAGACTTTGATCTCCAGCACCACAAAGCAGAAACAAAAAATACTTCATTTAGGTTTGGCTTAGTGGTAAGAGTGCCTAGCATGTGCGAAGCCCTGGGGCCCACCCTCAGTACCACAGCCAAAAAAAGGAAACAGTTAAAAAAAAAAGCAGTTAACATTCACAGGGAGAAACAGCAAGGGAAAGGCAAAGAGACCCAGTCCAGATGAGACATTAGTGTTCTCACTGAACTCCAAAGGATAAACATGTCAGATTCCACAACTTGCTGTAATCAGGTTTGTAATTGGCTGGGTCATGTTTAAATGGAGAAGGTATTTATTTGGTTGGTTGGTTTTGATTTTTTTAAAAAAGGGTCTTCCCATGTAGTTCAGGCTGGCCTTGGACTAATTATGTAACCTTGGCTGGCTTTGAATTTGTGGTGATTCTCCTGCCTCAGCCTCCCACGTCCTGGAATTACAAGCATGGGCTACTTTACCTGACAGGCATGGACTACTTTAACTGGCTGTGACTAACATTTCTTGACCTATCAAGGATTTTCTGAATCCTTTATATAGGAAAAAGCTCACTTTAAGAATATACTGGTGCATTCCATATTATCTGACTTGTAAGTATTCTCAGATAATAAATTCCCTGATAGGGCAAACAGTAAACTAAAAGTTTGGTCTTCTGCCTTTTCTAAATGCTATTACAGATTTATACAGAGAGAAACTAAAATTTAAAGGTTATAGTTGGTAAGCTGCAGTTGACTTCAAGTATTAAGATCATTACGGCCGAGGGCTGGGATGTGTGTAGCTCAGTGGAAGAGCCTGCGTAGTAAGCGTGAGTCCCTGGACGTAGTGCCGTAGTGCCCAGTAGCACAGAAACAAAACAACAGTTACGGTTTGGTTACTTCTTGGAGGAGGAAGTTTATTTTTTTTCATTGAGCTGTAGAAACGTGAATGTGTAACGGGCAATTAATTGATAGCTTCTTATGAACTTAGGAAAGTTTACTTTTTAATAAACCGGGAATCGAACTTGGGACCTTGCGCTTGCCAGGCAGGCACTTGTACCGCTGAGCTATATCCCCAGCCCTATTTTTAATATAAATAGTGGTCCTATCTCAGAGAACTCATTTTGCAAAAATCACTTTTGTGCCATCATCTTGAAGACATGGTTGTATAAAAACACACTTACATAGCGGAAAGGCCAAATGCTTTGCAGTTAGTGAGGAAACAAGTAATTACTAGATGCTGTGCTGGGCTAAAGAGCAGCTTTCTGCAGAGCCTGTTAAAGCTAGGGAGTGCCTTCGCGGAAGGCCCGGACCAAACCCGTCCTGCCCTCAGTCCAGGCGACTCTGTTTCCTCTTCCTTGATGGTTTGAAGTGTTCGCGGTGAGCTGTTGGTCTGCGGTAGCTAAGTCTCTTCCCGTGACCTTGGGCAGAAAGTGTATAGGTGGACTCCTGGTGTATGTAAGTGGACCCTGTGTAAATCCCTGCCCAAGTCTAGGTCCCTGATGTCCAGATTAATACCCACAAACTTGTTCTGAACCTTTTTGGAGAATAACGACCTTTTGGGGAACCTGAGTGCCGAATACTGGTTCTCCCCACAACACACTCATAAAATGCTGGCCTCTGCTCTGAGGGCTCCGCCTGACAGGCTGCCTTATGTCGTGCTGCACCTCTAAGTACCTTCTGCCTTGTAGCAGTAGCTTAGCACTGTGCTACACAGGTGCTGTTAGAGCCACACAGTGCTAAGCCGGGCGTGGTGGCGCAGGCTTGTGATCTCAGCGCTTAGGGCGGAGGCACGAGGAGTGGCGAGTTGGTGGGCAGCCTGGGCGGTATGCAGGGAGACCCTGTCTCAAAAACCAAAGGGGGAGAAAAGAATCAGGTGGGGCTTAAGGTTAGCATGTTGACGTAGGCTAAAGGCATGTGGCGGAGTGCTTTTATTTTTATATGATGGCAGCTGGGTCTTGCAGGTGTAGTGTAAGGGTCAGGTTCTTGATACCATGCCGGGGCAGATGAAAGCAGTTAGTTCTAGGTCTGTGAGGCACAGTTATTGACCTTTGTTTTATTAAAAATTGAGAACCAGATAAAGCTTTATATTCTGGGCTGTTTTGCAAACAGGTCTGGACCCATGAGAGAGTTTTAAAATCAGTTTGTTTGTTTATTTATTTTTTGTCTTTTTTGAGACAGGGTTTTGCTATGCAGTTCAAGCTGGCCTTGAGCTCACTTTGTAGCCCAGGCTGGTCTCTAACTTGCGACGATCCTCTTGCCTCAGCCTCCTCAGTTCTGGGATTACAGGTGTACACCACCATGCTCCGGCTCCACCCTCATGAAAAATTCTTTTTATCGCTTTCTTTTGAAATAGGGTCTGGCTGTATAGTTCAGAATGGCTTAAATTCATTTTGTAGTCCAGGCTGGTCTTGGACTCAAAGTGATCCTCCTGCCTCACCCTCCAAATGCTGGGATTACAGGTGTATGCCACCATATCTAGCCTCAAATTTTTAAATTTAATGCATTAAGAAATATTTTCATAGCCAGGCGTGGTGGCACACACCTATAATCGTAGTATTTGGGAGGCTGAGGCAGGAGGATCACTGCAGGTTTGAGGCCAGCCTAGGCTAACATAGTCAGTTCAAGGCCAGTCTGAGCTACGTTGCAAGACCCTGTCTCAAAAAAACAAAAACAAAGTTTGAGACCCTGGGTACGGCGGCACATACTTATAATCCCAACGCTGTGGGATGCAGAGGCAGGATGAATACAAGTTTGAGCTCAGCCTGGGCAGTTTAATGACTTCATAAGACGCTGTCTCAAAATTGAAAAATAAAGATCAATCAGTCAATAAAAGGGTTGAGGAGGTGGCTCAGTGCAAAGGCTCCCAGTACCACTCCCCCCAAATGTTGATCAAATAAAATTCTAAAAATCTGAAAGCCACAGCTCTATACATGTCTGCTTTGGAAGTAATTTGAGTGAGGTTTTGGTATACTGTGATTTTTGTGGGGGTAGAGTGGGAGACTATAGAGTTAGGTAAGACTGACTAATGGAGGAACTTCCTTTGAATCTTCAGCACAGTTGAGCAGTGTGACTGACGGGATTTTCATGATCTAATAATGTGGGGTAGTTAAAGTGGGATTTGCACCGAAGCTTTTGGTGTAATACATAGTTGCAGCTACTGAAAATGTATTGAGTATCGTGTCATGTGGCATAAATGCTATGTTAAGCTGTCTGATAGGATCCCTTTTTTTTTTTTTTGTCTTTTTGAGACATGGTCTTGCTATGCAGTTCAGGCTGGCCTTGAGCTCACTTTGTAGCCCAGGCTCGCAATGATCCTCCTGCCTCAGCCTTCCGAGTGCTGGGATTACAGGCGTGCCCCATCACGCCCCGGCCTTCCCATTTGATTTAGGATTGCAAAGGTCTATTTTATTTTATGTAAAGTTAGCCATCCCGACATTGCATAAGACTGCCTCTTGTGGTAGTTCTGTTTTAGGTAAACTATAAAACCAAAAGAAATAGAGGTTGTAGGACCCAAAGAAGTGGGGAATTGCTGTTAGCAGATCTTTGTGTTTTTGTTCTGGCTTATTTTAACGGGAAATAGTTTTCAGGAAAGGCCATGTAAATAAGGTGAAGTGTTATTTACATTTAAGGCACTGAATTATAGATACGAACTTACTAGCTGTTTTCCTTTCTTTTCAAGGTTTGGGCCCCATGGCATTCCTGTGACGGTATTTCCCAAAAGGGAATATAAGGACAAACCGGAAGCCATGCAGCTCCAGAGTCACGCATTCCAGGACGGGACCGAAGTCAAGCGCGAAGTGAATGGTGCTGTTCCCAGCGCCCCCTGTCCTGTCCCGCCCCCCGAGCCCAGCTGCACGGAAAGCCTGTGGGCTTCCAAGCCGCCGCCTCTCTTCCATGCAGGGGCACCTTACCCTCCCCCTTTGTTTATCAGGGACACGTATAACCAGTCAATACCTCAGCCCCCTCCTCGGAAGATAAAGCGCCCCAAACGGAAAATGTACAGGGAAGAACCCACTTCGATAATGAATGCTATTAAGCTGCGACCCAGGCAAGTCCTGTGTGATAAATGTAAGAACAGTGTTGTTGCTGAGAAAAAGGAGATCAGAAAAGGTAGCAGTGCCAGTGACTCTTCTAAGTACGAAGACAAAAAGCGGAGAAACGACGGTGTGGCTACTGTGAACAAAAAACTGAAAACTGACCATAAAGTGGATGGGAGAAACCAAAACGACAGCCAGAGAAGGAGCGCCGTGGTGAAGGTTCCAAGTATCGCGCACAGTAGAGGCAGAGTAGTGAGGGTTTCTGCTCAGGCGAACACGTCAAAAGCGCAGTTAAGTACTAAAAAAGTGCTGCAGAGCAAGAACATGGATCACGCGAAAGCTCGGGAAGTATTGAAAATTGCCAAAGAAAAGGCACAGAAGAAGCAAAGTGAAACCTCTGCTTCCAAAAGCGCACATTCAAAGGTCCATTTCACACGGCGGTACCAGAATTCTAGCTCAGGTTCCCTCCCGCCCCGCGTCCGCTTAAAACCGCAGCGGTACAGGAACGAGGAGAACGACTCTTCCCTGAAGACGGGACTGGAGAAGGCGCGGAGCGGCAAGGTGGCGCCCAAGCCCCAGTCCCGCTGCACCTCCACCCGCTCAGCAGGTGAGGCCCCTCCCGAAAGTGCGAGCCCCTCAGAAGGCCCCGAAGAGGCCGGCAGTGAGGGTCAGGACTCGAGTGGAGTGCATGCGCCCGGTGGGCAGGATGAGCCGCAGACCCTGGGCACAGAGGGCGGCGAGAGCGCTGTGTCTGTTTACATGGCCCTAACGCGAAAGAAGTGCGACTCTCCCAGCGCTTCGGTGTGTAGCGCTGATAGCTCAGATGGTTTGAAATCCTCCAACTCCGAGTGTAGCTCTTCCGAAAGCCTGGACTTCCCTCCAGGCAGGGTGCGTGCGCCTTCCGCCTCCTCCACTTCCTCCTCTTCAAAGGAAGAGAAAAAGCTCAATAATTCCTTGAAAATGAAAATCTTTTCCAAAAACGTCTCTAAATGCGTCACACCAGATGGCAGGACCATATGTGTAGGGGACATTGTTTGGGCCAAGATCTATGGCTTCCCTTGGTGGCCAGCCCGCATCCTCACCATCACGGTGAGCCGGAGAGATAACGGGCTCTTAGTCCGACAGGAGGCCCGGATTTCCTGGTTCGGGTCTCCGACCACTTCTTTCCTTGCTCTTTCACAGCTCTCCCCCTTTTTAGAGAACTTCCAGTCCCGCTTTAATAAGAAGAGAAAGGGCCTGTATCGCAAGGCTGTCACCGAGGCCGCCAAGGCGGCCAAGCAGCTGACCCCCGAGGTGCGGGCTCTGTTGACACAGTTTGAAACCTGAGCGGGGACAGTGAGGTAGGCGAGAACCGTTGGAAGGCACCGCAGTTTTCTAGGCTATTTCGGAAGAATTTCCACAAAACAGCTCGGCCAGTTGGACAGCAAAATTGCACTCAGTTGGCTGGCTTTTTATACTTACTTACCTTATAGCCATTTTTAGACTGAAAAGCTTAAAACTGAACAGGCCAGGCAATCACTCAAATTTGCCTTAAGGAAGTGAGATTTTAGCAGTATTTTCCAATTTTGAAATCTGAAACCATCGCAAGGCACAGAAGCCATAGCCTCAAACTGAATTTTTGCAGGGACTGTTCATTGCCATTTGTACCTATTACTGTACACGCGTGTGCGCGCGCGCACACACACACACACACACAATACTGTCTGTCACTATGTGACACAGGTTGCATATTTGAGATTTTAGTAATGGATGATGAGCTGGGGGAAGAGAATATTTAATGGCTACTTGTTTTTTAAATTAATGAACACTTAGTCTTTCTGTGCGTATAATGGTATAAAAGTTTGATACCTGGGTGTTTGACAAACTGAGATATTTGCTGTTTATTCGGTTACAGACTGGGGAAATAGTCTAGTTTTTGGGCTTCCAACTGTTAGAACTATCAGGATAGGTTTGAACTGTTACTCTTTTGTCCAATGGGGTATAACTAACTTTCAAGCTTCTGGTTTGGGAGTTTAGATAGGTTTGATTTTGGATATGTAAATAGTTGTTACTAAATTTGGTCAGATTTCTCCTGACTGGCTGTTCCTAAATTCTTAGGATACGTCCTAGTAAATTACACTTTGTGAATTAATTGTCATATGTGTAATTGTTGCATTTTGGATGTACCTAATTTGATAATTTTTAAAAAATATTTCCATTTAAGGTATCTGTTTGCAGGTCAGAAAATGAGAAATGTAATTGTGTAATGCTCTGAAATGTAAAAAAAAAATAAGCTGTAAATAAAATCGACTAAATCCAAATTATTTGTGTGTGTTTCTCAAAAAGCTTTGAAACATTTCAAAATGGTAGAAAATTTGTGATAGCATTTAGAAAAGATGGAAGCCAAACTTATAGTTTACTGTTTGCCCTATCAGGGAATATATTATCTGAGAATACTTACAAGTCAGATAATATGGAGTGAACCAGTATATTCTTAAAGTGAGGTTTTATAGACTAGAGGTGTGATGTGCTTCTAGATTTCATACTCCCACCAGTTTCCCATAAATGAGTAGGATTCAATTTTCATTTTTAGCCTTAATAGTTCATCACATGCTTCTTTTTCTTTTATACATTTGGGTAATTTTAACCGGTCTCCTTTCTGTTTTGTTTTCTGCCTCAGGTATGACTGCTTTTGGGGCTGGTAACTTAGCTTGCTATTTTTCTATGTGGCCCATGTGGCCCTAAGACTTGGTTCCTTATTTACCACTTTTAGCTTTGTACTATTAGTGAAAAATATGTCTGACTTCCTGTTTATCCCAAGATTTTTAAAGTTGCCTAGAGCTTTTGTGTCTGACTTAAATTTGATATGGTTTGAGTCAGTTTGACACTTCTAGAAATTTAAAATTTTGAAGCGGATACGGATTTCTAAATCCATATCTGAAATTTAGAAATACTGGATTTCTAAATCCAATCTGAAATACATTAGTTACGATGGAATTAATAATGAAGATTATTAGACAAACATCCTTTTGGTTTGGACTTCTTTGATTACCATTTTTGGGAAAAGCAAGTAGAATTTCTTTTGGAGAACTGAGTCAATGCTTTTTGATCCTTATAAACACACAATTTTTAAAAAGATGTTTCAGTTGAGTAGAACATTTCTTTCCTGCAAACAGAAACAACTTTTAAATTTTATTATAATAGGTTGAAATAAGTTCACATTTGATGGAGGGGTTAGGAGGGAGGTAGCTTCAAAGATTTTCTGAATATCTGTTTTAACTTAATGAACTTGCTCATTCAAGTGGTTTTGAAAGTTTGAAATCTAAAGTTCAGAAAGACTTGAAAATCACCAAATTCTCAGGCTTTGTGTAATCTGGGTGAGATCTATGATACTGATTTTGAAAGTGGATGTTGCTTCATAGTCAGGTGCTTTGGCAGATTGCTTTTATGGCATAAACCGTATTTGGTATGTTTCGGAAGTCATGGGAAAAGGAAGAAAGAAAATGACAAAATCATGATTGTGGAATACAAAAATAACTTTCAGTTTTGTAGCCCACATTGAAAAGTGTGAAGCATGATCACAAGTTTATGTGGTCTAAAGTTGTCTGATGATACCTCCACTTGAACTTAGAGTCGGGCATGTTTCCCTGAAATTTCAATAGGAAGAATTCTATCTTAAAATTAGAATTAAAAATTCTAATCTTAAAGCATATTTTATACACTGATAAGTAGCTGTATATTAAAAAAGTATTTGAGCTGGGTGCACGGTTGTAATCCCAGCAGTTGGGACGCTGAGGCAGAAGGATCAAAATAGCCTGGACAACCTGGGGGTAGTGCTCATTGCGGAATCCTGGGTTCAGTCCCTCACGCCCCCTCCCCCCACATTTTAAATGGAAACTTAGCTGCATGAGTTTGTCCGGTGTCTACAGCAGGCGGAGATGGCCAGCTGGGGTAGCTAGCCGCTTTGCCGGTTCTCTGGGCTGGCAAGAGGCTCTCTGCGTAGACACAACCCTGCAGGCGTGACCCCCTGCAGCTCTGGTCTAAAGAGGGAGTAACAGAGGAGCAAGAGAGAAACCAAACGGAGTAAGAGCTGTGAAGACTAAGAATGTTATTTGTAGAAATAACCAGAAATTTAAAACATCAGTATTTTTTTCCATTTTAATTTTCTAGAACTTACAGAGCAGGGGGCCGCCTGCTCATTTGGAAGGGGCACCCATGAACTACTATTTACAGGTGTGGAACCAAAGACCTGGAAGACATGAGTGAGGTAGCTGGGGAGGCTGGGCCTCACTGGGCTGCAGTCTTTTTGCAAGAATTGGTGCTGTGTCCCTACCTGAGTGAGCGAGCGTGTTTTGTTTTTTGTTTCTTTGGACATGGTCTTGCCTTTGTATTCGAGCTGGCCTCGAACTCTAGATCATCCTGCCTCAGTCTCCTAAGGCAGAGATCACAGGTGTGTGCCACCATACCTGTCCTAAGTGGTCTTAATGGGGAAAATATAAATAGACTAATTGTAGATTACTTTTAGTAGAACAGATTTAGACGTGAAGACACTGTGCAAAGAATATATAGTACATACTTACATTTGTGGGGAGTTTCTAAATTGTAAACTACTGAGTTGGCAAATGTCTACAGAAGTTGACAGTTTTAAGTGAAGGATCTGGCCCTTGAAGCTGAGGCAGGAGGATCACCTTGAATTAGAGGCCAGCCTGGGCTAGATGGTGAGTTCCAGGTCAGTCTCAAAAAACAAAACAAAAGATTTAGGTGTCCTAACTGAAGAGTGTTGTCCAGTGAACGGGTACATTATGTGTCGCAGACAGGTGCTAATGAAAGATTGCCGTCCAGTGACCTCTCCAGGGAGGGCTCTGCAGAGAGAATGAAGACTGCCTGTTGGGGCTGGTGAACTGCGTGGACAGGTGCTCGCTGTGCTGAAGGGCATGCCTGATACGGGGGCTCGGCTCTGCCGGGGGAAGGGGGACGGCGAGGCCGCATTAGCTATCTGGTTGTGAGTTCCAACACCAGGGCTGCTTCGTGTTCTGTCTTTACAGCCTGTGTGCATGTACTATATTCCTTCATTCAGCTGCGTTTGTATAGCATTAAAGAAGGGTACCATTACGGACTAGCATTTTTCTTTTGTCTTTTTGAGACAGGGTCTCACTATGCAGTTCAGGCTGGCCTTGAGCTCACTTTGTAGCCCAGGCTGGTCTCAAACTTGCACCGATCCTCCTGCCTCAGCCTCCTGAGTGCTGGGATTATAGGCGTGCGCCACCGCATCTGGTGGTTTTTTTTTTTTTGAAACAAGGTCTTGCCACATAATTCTGACTGGTCTTCATCTCACTAGGTAGCCTGGGCTGGCCTCAAACTCGCAGTGATCTTCCTGACTTATATGTGGTGCCACTACCCCTGCTTTGTTTTGTTTTGAGACAGGATCTCGCTGTGTGTGTAGTACAGGCTGGCGTTGTACTCACTGTGTGTGTAGCACAGGCTGGCCTCAAATTCATGACCCTCCTGCTTTAGCCTCTTGAGTTTGGGTTTACTACTATGCCTGGCTTGTGTAATCTGATTTTTTTTGGTTTTTTTTTTGAGACAGGGTCTTGCTATGTAGTTCAGCCTGGCGTTGAACTCACTATG